TATTTTTATTTCAAAACAACAACAAGTCAAGCAATAACCATGTGTCAGGGACAGTGTAACAGAAGCAGGTTATATTAAGTGCATTGGGCTCAGGTCCAGTTCAAACACAAAATGCAGCCTGAACCAAAGTCTCTGCATATGTCTCAGAAAAGTATTGGGAGATAATTGTAAATATGTCAACCAGAGTCCAGTCTCAAAGTTTGCTGTCGTGTTGTGAGTTTTACCAATATTCCAGAATACTATGAGCCTGCTGTACCCTCAGTAACACAAACCATATTGCAAGGGAACGCAAAGGTAATCCTCAAACAAATTCTGGCTGTGACCCTTCGGGGGCTCCGTAGAGAGCGGAGCGTAGCTCAGTGTTTACATGGTGTTGGTATGCTTTGCTGGAGTCAGACTGTAAATGACCAGTGGAGCAGTCTTTCCCCTCCAGGCCTCTGCTGTTCTTCTCCTCCCCTCTCCAGTGTGATGGTGTATCAATAACACTAATGACACTGATAGTCTCAGGCTTTGTTGCTGTAAACAAATGTGCAGAAAGCACAAGCACTTACAAAAGCATGTTGACACCCTCTCCCCTCACTATCCTCCTTTTTCTCTGAAACACACACACTCTCTCACACACACACACACACACACACACACACACACACACACACACACACACTGTGTGCACACATGGAGACCCCCACCCACACAATCACACACACATTCAAACACTCAAAACAAACATGCAGACTCCACCCAACACTCCACCCACTGTAACAACTTCAGAGGAATGGTCAGCATGTGGAGAGGTTGTGGTAAAAGAGCTGGAGGGGAAGTGGAAACCAGGGAGGGAAGACACCGATGCTTTCAAAATCCCTAAAAGTTAGTGATATCCCATATAGTGTCCACAGGGACCGGAGGAGATCAGTGCAAACTGATGGGACTTGCACATCCAGAGTCCCCATGCGGCTTTGCGTATTGTGCTGAGACGTGGGAAACGGTCATTGGATTGGGCTGAAGCCAGACTGTACTCAGGGACGGTGCAGGCATGAAGCCAGCTGAGTTGAGTTTGTGCACATGAGCTAAAAATGGGTTTTTATTTGGGATGAACCCCAAATTTGTTAAAAATTCAATGCACATGTTCTTGGAGCTGCTGGAATATTTGGCAGCTTCAGTTTTAGGGAACCTGTGAGAATGCTTGTAGCGCCAACTGTGAAAAGTCACACGTCGCCTTTTACACATGGGCGATAAGGTTTAATGGTTCACATTTGCATTCACTAAAGTCTGGCTGCAGCCCTGTTTGCTGACTGTCTCTGCTGTGTCTGTGCATGGCTTTGTGTGCCAGTTACCAGGCCATTCATATTCAGAATGACCTACAGGTCCTGTAGAAACTCTGGCCAGGCCCTGCAGGGGGAGAGGTGTTGGGCCAAAGGAGATCTCTGCAGGCAGGTTCCTTTCAGGCCATGCTAATTAGCCTGTAAATTCATTTTCCTAATTGGACTGTTCCACAACTCTATATCCTACTGATCACGCTGGAATTACCCTCACGAACAAATATGTTTTAGAACCGACAAACATGTGGGACTTTTGCATTTGAACTTTTCATATCAGAGTTCATGGTCATGCTTTTCATTCTGGACCTTAATCTTTCACTAAATTACAGAATTACACTGTTCCTGATAGACTTACTGTATCTTTGCTTGGCTCTGGAGCCTATGTGTCTTCATTACTTTAATGTGGTTTATGAGTATTAGCATAGTATTTATGCTGGAGACTATCTTTATTTCTACTCTATATATTTTGTTTTCAGTCTGATAATTTTCATGCGTGTGAGATTCAGTAGAGAAGTGATGGTTGACAGCACCAACACATGTACTATAAACTCAGATAAGTGCTACAGTAGATATATAGTAAACCTATAATAGTTACACCCCCATAATAAAGCTGGACAGTGACAGACCCAGGTTTTCCTTTGGCTTGTGTGGATACCACATGTTGAGCCATTCAGCTTTATTCACTTCTCTGAGTCAGTGACAAGTATT